TACAGAGAAAATATTATTGGCTCTCGTTTTTATTGTTCCATCGTGATACGTGATTTTCATAGAAAATATATCGGCTTCAAGGCTTTGTGGTGAAGACACCAAGATTCAAGGAGTATCACAAGTTTGCTTCTTCTATACAAAAAGAAGATCGGTTCTTCGGGAGAGGGCTTAAACAGATCTCGGGAGGAGATCAATCCGCCGACTGAGGGATTCAGCGTTGAAGGGAGTTCAACCGTGCGGAGCAAGGGACGTGCTGCAAATTGAAGATTTGTAATTCAGCGTAGTATACAAGAACGGCGTCAACAAAGAGGGAGTCTTTGTATTTTGATTAAGTCCTATTATTGTATTCGTAAAACTAAAAATTAGTAAATTTTATTTGCAGGTCCCCGTGGATGTAGGGTACAGTTGTATCCGAACCACATTAAAATTTGTGTCTCGTTTATTTCTGTTTTTACGAACTGCTTCACAAACTGTTGCAACACTTCACGCAACAGTAACGAAAAACTGAATCTGACACAAATAATTTATATCTGCACGAAATAAATTCTAACAAGTTAGATAGTCAATTATGATTTTTCCGAAATCAACTATAAAAAGTTGGTAGTCAACTATAATTTTTTCATCAATTTCCTGTATTATTTTTTTCATTTCAGCTTAAGATACTATGGTATTGTAAAATGGATTTTCGACAATTAAAATATACCCTTCGAGGAATCCATGATATATGGTATTCATAGAGTAGAAAGTAGATTGATTTCAGGGATAAAAAAATGGGATGTAGAAGAAAATGCAAAGTAATGCCAAAAAATGAAGAAAAATAAAGAGAAAAAATGAAACAAAAAAAGACCAGAATGAGTGAGGGTGGGGTGGGGGGGGGGGGGGGGGAGAGGAGAGAGGTGGAGAGGAATAATAAAAGGAAAACACGTCAATAGTACTGGGGAAAATGAAGAGAAAAATAAATGGAATATATAAATTGACGGGATAAGAGAAAAATAAGGAGAAGAGAGAGAAAGCAGGAGAAACATATAGACAAAAAAGAGCATATCACAAAATTCATAAAATATTATATGAATATATTTACAAATGGTTAATTATAAATTGGACCCATACTATATTATTTCATCTAACGAAAGAGTTATCCCTCATTTTTCCTAATAGATAATATAAATTAGTAATTACCATATCCTATCGTACCGAAATTTTTGATAGAATAATGATAACGAATCTATATATAATATAAAAAGAGGATCTATGCCCTCAATGATTGACATGTGGCAAATGATGATGTCATTTATCAAAATTGCTTAGTTGGAGTTCAATTCATGAGGTGGATTCTTCAATTGGTGAGTTGTCAATTTTATTTTGGTATGTATTTAAGTTGTTTCATATTTAACATTTATACACTCATTTAAACAATTACCACATGTATATATATTATTTCCAGAGTTAATATTTTATAAATTCGAAATAAAAAAAAATCTTATTTATATTTTCAGTATTTCAAAATACATTGATTGAAAAAAAAAATCATGATACTCAATTTTTTTACGAATATCAAATAATTTTCAGAAAAAAAATATTTTTTTTTAATATTAAAATATTAAAATAAAGGAGTAAAATTGTTTTTTTTTTTGAATTTTCAATATTATGGAATATCTGAACATCCATTCAATAAAAAAAAATTGGGATATCTGTATAAAATGAATGTATTAATAAATTAATATATATTTCATTATTTTTTCATTTGATTATATTAATTCAATATATATAAAAAGCTAATATATATATATATATA